TCAGTCTGTATGCTGAGCATGTAATCCAAGAGGCTAGTCTATATGAAAAAGAAAATGGCATTAGGATTGGAGTAAGACTCATTAACATATAGAGATGACACAGCCTTCCTTGCTGAAAGTGAAGAAGACTTGAAGCACTTACTTTTGAAGTTTAAGGTCTGCAGCCTTCAGTATGAATTACACTTCAACATAAAGAATAAAAATGACTATAGATATAAAAATCTTCAACAAAATCCTAGCCAATAAACTCCAACAACATATCAAAAAAATAATACACCATGACCAAGTAGGATTCATGCCAGGTGTGCAAGGATGGTTCAACATTAGAAAAACAATCAAGGTAATTGATCACATAAGTAAAATAAAGGAAAAGAATCACATGATCATTTCAGTAGATGTATGAAAAGCATTGGATAAAATCCAACACCTGTTCCTGACAAAAACTCTCAGAAAAATAGGAATAGAAGGGAAATTCCTCAACATAATAAAGGACGTATATGCAAACCCAGCAGCCAACATTATTCTCGATGGAGAGAGACTAAAACCAGTCCCCTTGTGAACAGGAACCAGACAAAGATTCTGTCTATCTCCACTTCTATTCAACACCGTATTGAAAGTCCTAGTTAGGGCAGCAAGGAAAGAAAGGGAAATAAAAGGCATCCAGATTGGTAAGGAAGAAGTCAAACTATCCTTATTTGCAGATGATATGACCCTGTACATAGAAAACCCAAGAGATTCAGCAAGAAATCTACTGGAACTTATTGAAAGGTTTAGCATAGTGGCAGGATACAAGATCAACATACAAAATCAGTTGGATTCCTGTACACCAGCAAAGAGGTCTCTGAAAAGGAAATAAATCAATATTTACAATAGCTACCAAAAAGATAACATATTTAGGAATAAAGCTTGCCAGGAACACAAAAGACCTGTAAAGAAAACTACAAAACACTACTTCAAGAAACTATAAGAGATCTACAGGCTTCTTATATACAGGAATCAGACCACATCCCAAAGGCAGCTACTCAGCTGCTTATGGTAGATCCCACCATGGAGTTGATTGCCAGTCTCATCATGGGGAATAACTACCACCAGTTGCCCAGCCACTCAACCAGGCCCAGCCAAGTTGACACACAAACATAACTACCACACTGTGCTCATGGATAGGAAGATTAAATGTTGTGAAAATGTCAATACTACCCAAAGTCAATGCAGTCCTGATCCAGATTCTATCAATGTTCTTCAAAGACATGGAGAAAACAATCACTAATTTTATATGGAAAGGAAAGAGACCTCAGATAAGCAAAGCACTATTGAAGAAGAGGAACAAAGTAGGAGATCTCATACTCTTAGATCTCAAAACCTACTATGCAGCCACAATAGTCAAAACAGCTTGTTATTGGTACAATGACAGACACATAGAGCAGTGTAATAGAATTAAGAACCCAAACATAGATCTGTCCATCTATGATCAGCTGATCTTTGACTAAGGGCCTACTTGAACAATTTCTCTTAGAAAGATCAGCACGAGTCTGGTCCCCATGAGGCGGAGGTCAAAGATGTCCCAAATGTCCAAACTACCATGCCACTCCATCATTTCAGACATTAACCCCTCCTCCTCCTCCCAGTAATTTCCCCAGTCTTAGGGTTCTGAATTTCGCTGTAACGCCTCA